ACAATTCTTCTTAAGTGCTGAAACTTTACTGAAAAGTGATTGCTGTTAAATATAAGAGTGGGAATAAGAGAGGGAAGAGATGTGCAATTCGGGACATGCTCAAGCTGACTTACCTCAAACGGTAGAGTTAGAAACATACCAGGGGATTCCAACTCAATCCCATCAAGGTGGCATGTACCAATGCCATCTCACTAGTCCCAGTGATCAATTTCTGTTCACAATTGATCAGAATGATAGGACTAAGAACCAAAGGGATCACATAAACAAGAATAGTGTCTGCAAATACTAGCTGATAGAATCAAAAAGGGAGAGAATGGTCCAACATGGGAAGTGAGATACACAGCAGACCCATAGAATGGCAGATGTCCTAAACAGCACTCTGGCCTCAGAATCAGCCCTTAAGGCATGCGGATCTGGCTGAAAAGCCCATGAGACTATTTCAGGCATGGAAAGCCAAGACACTCTGGGGGGGGGGGGGACCTAAATGAAAGATCTCTGCGGGTGAGATCCCAGTGGAAAGAACGGGTCATCTAAGAAGGAGGTACCTTTCTCTGAAGGGAGGAGAGAACTTCCACTTTGACCATGGCCTTGTCTAAATATGATCAGAGTCAGTGAACTCAGGGGGCTTCCATAGCCTTGGCAGCTCATGACAAGAGCCTAGGGTGATTATTGATGCCATAAACAAGAGTGTCAATTTGTTAAGTCAGCAACAGGAGGCACTGTGCACTTACTCCTCATGTAGGATCTTTGTCCTTAGTGTGCTGTACATTGTGATTTAATGCTATAATTAGTACTCAAACAGTATTTTTCACTTTATGTTTCTGTGTGGGAGCAAACTGTTGAAATCTTTACTTAATGTATGCTAAACTGATCTTCTGTACATAAAGAGAATCGAAAATGAATCTTGATGTGAATGGAATGGGAGAGGGAGTGGGAAAGGGGAGGGTTGCGGGTGGGAGGGACATTATGGGGGGGAAGCCATTGTAATCCATAAGCTGTACTTTGGAAATTTATATTCATTAAATAAAAGTTAAAAAAAAAACAACGTTGAAGTAAACACTGAGTAATTGATATCAAATACATCCTTAAATTATATAGTTGCCTTCTACCCTATCAACCAGTAAATATGTGCTGAGCACCTGCTGTGCACCTGACAGTGGAGGGGAGGGGAATCCATTACCCATATGAACTTGTAGAATTGTAATGAAGAAAACTACATAGTAAAAGCAGTGCATTCTGCCATTTAAACTGAGCCATATACTACTAGTATGTATTAGATGACACTATTTATGTGAGAGCAAAGCAGTACATATAAAGTACTGAGTGAGAAATTTTTGAAATGACAGAAAAAATACCATTTCTAGCCAACAGGGGAGGATGTATATTCCTTATATATTTATACATTGCCATAATTATTGTGTGACAGATAAAATGATGGAGTTGGATGGGTAGCAGACTTGAAATAGAGGGAAATTTTGCTCACATTATATAGTTTAAAACTTATATTCTTTGTTGTCCATTTAATCTTCAGACGGCAAGATACAGTTTGTTTTCAATATTTCATTTTATTTAGAATATACATTGTAAAATAGTAAGCATTAATAGTGCTATTTGTTATTTGGAATGGTTTGTGCTTTCCTTCTACATAACAAGTGTGAATTTAACAACCAAATATTTCCCTCTTGGTCCATATAGTTCTCATTAATTCTTACACACAATGTCAGAAACTGAAAAATGTGCAGGTACATGACAGATTTTATGGATAATAGAAATATATGGCATTATCATGTAGTAATTGTATGGAAAACTTGAAAGAAGCATAGGTTCTAGTTAAATAACTTTACCAATACCAGAAAGCTATTTATTCATAATGAACAAACTATATTAGATTATATATAAATTATCAACATCTCAAAGGAAAAAAAAGTCATAAAAAATAAAGCATAGGGATTTCAGATTCCTTGTCTTCCTCCCCCCTCTTTCTCACCCTCTTTCTCCTCTGTGTAGTAAATAATGATCTGCCATTTGGTTTATGAATGCTTGTTCATGCTTTTGCTTTCTGTATTTTTCTAAAATCATGATTTTTTTCCTTCTACTAACTTTATTCAGTATGAGCCAACTCACTGCGCCCTCTCTGTGAGATCCTAGAATGGAAAATGTTTCATTGATGGGGGACTAAGAATAACTGAAAAAATTAAGTCAGTTGAGTGAAAAATATGTTGAAACTTAAAGATATTTCTTAAGTTCAGAAATGTGTCCCAGTGTTGAATTGTAAGCCTTTAACCTGGAAGACAGCTGTTCCTTTTTAACTCTTCTTAAACAACAATATATGGAAAGTCTGAATGCCTACATGACAATCTTAGATTTGTCAGAATGTTATTATAATACTAAAGCCATATAAATATTATTAAAGAAAGACGTATTTCACTAGTATAATGAGTTTCCACAGTTTTTCTTCTATCAGGCTCATAAATAATTGTAAAATGACATAGCTACATAGTTTAAAATAAATAATGTCAATATGTTGAAGGGCTGGCACTGTCACAGCAGGTTAAGATACCTCTTGTGTCACCAGCATCTCATATAAGCACAGATTTGAGTCCTGGCTGCTGCTCCACTTCCAATCCAGCTGCCAGCCAATGAGCCTGGAAATGCAACAGAGGATGGCCCAAGTGCCTGGGCCCTTCTCACATAAAGGGGAGACTTGGATGATGTTCTGGGCTCCTGGCTTCTACTGGCCCAGTTTCAGCTGTTGCAGTCACATGGGAAGTGGACCAGTGGATGTGAGACCTCTCCATCTCTCCTTGTAACTCTGTCTTAATCAATCAGTCAATCTTTTAAAAACACACACAAAATGTGGTTATTTGGCATATTTTCCCTAAAATTATATGATTTCTGAATGTATTTTAAGTCAAATTGATAGAAGAATAATTCATAGGATAAATCACCAAGAAACACTTTCCTGTGTGTATCACAACCTAATACATATTTCCTTCATCACACATTTGCAAAAAAGCCTCTGATAGCTTGAAAAATTATTGTATTTAAAACTGTCCACAGCCATTAAAATGCACACACAGATCTTTTGTACCTTGTAACAGCCACAATCACTTCCTTATTGACAGCCTAGTATTCAAAAAATAATTTATATCTATCCTATGTGTAATGCCAATGTCTACCTTAGACATTCTTGCAAAATATATACAGAGAATATATAAAATTATTTAACAAAGTCCATGGAATGATTATCAAGAATAACTGGAATTTGAATGCTTCCACTACAAAAGAGTGAATAGCTACCTAGAGACAATGTAACAGTTGACTTACACCAGAGCTATTGTTGCAGGGGCAGACATATCAATATCCAAGATATGTAAAAGAAAACATCACATCCATCAACTCTCACCTCCTAAACCTTCTACTTAGTTTCATGTATGCTGTCATCATTACAGACTGCTTTTTTTATTTATGGAGCATATGCAGTTTTCAGGGGGCTGAATCTGTCATATGCCAAATCTTCACCGCATAGCAAGAAGTGAAAGCATCATTTCATGAAAATCAGGGTTTGTCTTATTTAGGAAGTAACCCAGATTGCTGAGAACTCTAGAGGAAAATTTAACATAAGATGTAGACAGTAGGGTGTCAGAGAATTATGAGATAGGCACCCAGGATGTTCTGAATAACAGTATTATGGGAAAATTTCTCAAGTTGAATTGGCTCATTTACTTCAAGAGTCGGATGCCATGTTGCTTTGACAGTGACTACATATGGTGGTTAATTATAAAATGAATGCATTCACTGAATAAACTATAAACATTAAACATCAGTGTATATGAGAACATTATATATATGAAAATCACTATCTAAAATTCTTCCAGGAATGAAAACAATGCTTATATCTGATTTGAGAGAAACAGATAAAAAAATTAATGGCTTATCAATTTTATCAAAAAACTTCATGTTCTGTATTTATTTTAAATCTGGACAAAATATAAACTATTTTAATTCCAATTTGTGGATGATAGCTATGCTCTTCTGACAACAATTTTTGCAATTTTTTTTAATGGAGAAAGTTTTATTGGGTATCAGCTGTCTGGAAATCATAAATACCAATGACCTTTTAGAAGCTCAAGATTAGATTGACTTAAACTGATAATCAGAAGAAATGCTGAAATAACTAGAAGCTACTTGCAGTATTTCAGTGTCTATATTAACAGTGCATTGACAATGAATGTTATTTCTGAGCATCCCAAGGTAAATGTTGCTATATTCACCAGAATATTTGTTGTTCTACTATATTTTCCTAAGAGATATCAGAGCTTTAGTTCACTATCTGGAAAAAATGTATATACTTTTCTTACAAACAGATAACAATTGCTTTTCTAAATTTGAATATGAAAGCACAAAGTATGTTTTGTGTACTGAGATATTATCCCCTATTAAATTCTTCCTTTGGGAATTCCTATAAAGCAAACGCCCTTCGAAGTGTGTTCTGAAATTCAGGGTTTCCACTTTAATAATAAGTCACTGAGACTCTCCAGGCAGTCAGTAAGAATTGTGTAAGAGGAACACATTTAAGCAATATGAACTGATTTTTTACTAGGTAGACTTTTTGAACTATTGTCAACATATAGTCCTATAACCTAATAACTACTGATCTGCTTTCATGTGCCTAATAGTGTGAATGAAGGTAACAGGCATTCACTTCCTTCTTACCATCTCTTCTCCATATCAAACAAGGTACATAGAAGCTAGAAAGACCAGATGAGTTCTAAAAATGGATAGTTAGTGGTGGGAAATGAGTCATAGTTGGTTTATGGTCATATTAAAAATGGTTGACTGATTTTGCAAAATGCTTTTGACGACAATGGACAACTCAGGACCAAGAGACACCAGAAACCAGCTGTGTAGTACCATTATTTCCAAGAAAGCAAAACACTTGCTTGCGTGTATATACACATTTATGAAGAGTTTTAGAAACATAATGAAGAACAACTTACTGAGAAGTCTTCAAAGATTTTCTTGAGTTCCTTATGACCAAACCTTTCAGCAATTTGTGCTGGGTCTGAACCTTCCTTATTTTTCACCTGAGATGCCCAACTTGCTCCGGAACATTGAAGCAAATGAATAGCCAGGCTCTTTAAACCAAATTTTGCTGCACAGTGAAGAAGAGTTGGAATATCTTCGAAATGAGTATCTGTAAGCATAAGAAGTAGTACAATTTAAAGTGCATTTATTGTATCTACAGTTACATAAAAAAGTCAAACATAATCTCAACCTGAAAGTAATTCTCACAAACAAGAGCAGGCTTTCAGTATAAGTCTAGATAAAAGAAACCATCAATGTCTTTAGCGATGTAGAATCTTCCTGCCTTTTCTAATTCCTATTTAAATATAAACTAATATTCTCACTGGCATTAATGCTCCACTCTTATCTGTGGGTTAAGGTCAGAGAGCCACATCAACCTCTTAAATGTAAAACAAAGCACAATAAAACAGAAGAATTATATTGGAATAATTCCTTTTGAATACACTCTGACATTGGGTACATCCTACAACACAAAATTCTGTAGTTTCATTTATAAAACCACTTTGAGTTTTCCATTGCCAGGTTTAGTTTCCTTCTTTCTGAAGATGAAATGAACATGAAGTTACTGAAGAAAATTTATATTAGATTTCTACATGAAATTTTTCTTTCAAAAAATAACTGGAATGGAAAACACAGATGAGCACTTTTGTAAGCAACTTCATTTTGGAAATTCCCATCACAGTTTTTTAACTTTCATATGAATGATTTAGATTTTGAATTTCATAACTACCATTATCAATTAAAACATATTAATTATATAAAAATAAGATTGGGGCTAGCTCTGTGGCACAACGGGTTAACGCCCTGGCCTGTTCTACTTCCGATCTGGCTGCTCCACTTCTGATCCAGCTCTCTGCTATGGCCTGGGAAAGCAGTAGAAAATGCCCCAAGTCCTTGGGCCCCTGCACCATGTGGGAGACCCAGAAAAGGCTCCTGGCTCCTGGCTTTGGATCTGCACAGCTCTGGCCATTGCGGCCAATTGGGGAGTGAACTATCGGATGGAAGACCTCTCTCTCTCTGCCTCTCCTCTCTCTGTGTAACTCTGACTTTCAAATAAATAAATAAATCTTTAAAAAAAAAGATAATTAAAGTAATCTGTTACTAATGGAGTGATGGCTTATTATTCTATACTTTCACATCTAGCTGAATAAAAAGCTTAATAGCTATATTATCTGAAGCAAAGATATAAAGGCTTATAGGAACAAAGCAAAAGTTAATTTTCTTCTAACCAAATTATGTCAATGGAAAATCTTCACTTTAAAATTTTTGAAAGCTATGAATCTGCATGGCTTCATTTACAATGGGGGAAATAAGAAAGGACTAAAGAAAGAAAAAGTTAAGAAAAGGAATTAAACATGGACTTTCCCATTCACTTTGGTGTTTCAGGATACAAAAAATTTAGTTTGTTAGGTTGCGTGTTAAACAAAACAGGGAAATGAAGTTGAGCAAGATGGCGGTATAGCAAGAGGATGTTCTGAGTCATGCAAGGAAATATGGATAATCAATGAGTAGAGGGGTTACAAGTGGGTGGTGGAATCATGAAAAGTTTGTGCAGAGTGGCCCAGCAGTCCATCAGAGATTGCTCGGGTCCACACCAGGGGAAGTAGAGAGGTGCCCGAAGTATAGAGAAGGAACGGCATAGAGACCCAGAGAGGAGACAGGTGCCACTCCTTCAGTGAACCAGGTGAGAGGTTGCGAGCCCATGGAGATGCAGACACTGATAAGTGGGGAAATTTTGTGAGCAGCATTTGGAGCTCTAAGGGGGAAGGAGAAATTCTGGGATGGGTAGAGAGGCTGACATGCCAGATCCCTCTGGTTCTTCCCCCTCCCCACAAACAGAGCTGCAGTGGGCGGGGAGAAGCCATATTAATTGTTTACATTTTCAAGAGTGGGCAGTGAGCTGCTGCTTTCGCCTCCTGCACACAAACCCATCAATTGTGGGGGCTACCTCACAACACACCCCTTCCAGAAACAATGATCACAACAATTCAGAGTGACTCCCTCCCCTCCCCATCATGCAAGTTGTATAATAATGAATAATTCTAAACAATTAAAACCAAAGCTCTTTCTACAAACAAGAGAGCAGGGAGCCCAAGCCCCAAGTAGGTGGGGTTTAGTACACCAAAGCCCTGGTACCTGCCTCCATAAGGACCCAGAAATAAACAAAGCTTCAGGAGGTGGAGACGCTTGCTTCCACTGGCAACAGGCACAGACACATAGCAGCTCATAGCAGAGGGAAATCGACTTTGAAATAGAACCAATCAGAAAACAAACAGAAATGGTGAAGAACAAGGGAAAAATACTGAATAAGAATATGGAAGAATCTAAAAATTGGCCAATGAAACAATCTAGATCTTCAATAATGAAGGCTGAAGAAGAAGAAATTGAAACCATGCCAGAAAAGGAATTCGGAAAATTAATAATCAGATTACTTAGAAGCGATTAGAAACAGATTCAAGATCTGAATGAAAAGCACTCCCAAGAAATCGAGATTCTAAGGAGAAGCCAAAATGAAATACTGGAAATGAAAATTCAATTGACCAGATTAAAAAAAAATGCCATGGAATCTCTCAGAAATAGAACAGATGAAATAGAAGAGCGAATATCAGAAGTAGAAGACAAACTTCTAGAAATAATACAGTCAGAACAAACACAAGAAGAAATTAGAAAATTAAAAATCACAGTTGGAGATTTACAAGGTTCTATCAAGTGATCCAACGTATGGATCATAGGAGTTCCAGAAGCTGTGGAAGGAGAGAACGGATTAGAAGACCTTCTTAATGAAATTATATCAGAAAAATTCCACAATAGGCAGACTGAAAGAGACATCCAAGTACAAGAAATACAGAGAAACCTCCAACAGGCATGACAAGAAGGGGAATTCACCATGACACATGTGGCAACACTCAGCTCAGTGAAACAAAAGAACAGATCTTAAAATGTGCCCTAGAGAAACAACAAATCACATTCAGAGGTAATCCAATTAGACTCACTCCGGACTTCTCAATGCAAACCCTACAGGCAAGGAGACAAGGGCAAGATATATTCCAAGTCTTAAGAGGAAAAAAAAAACTGTCAACCCAGAATACTGTACCCTGCAAAACTCTCATTTATGAAGGAGAAATAAGGATTTTCCACAACAAACAGAAATTGAAATAATTTGTATCTTTATGCCCAGCCCTACAACTCTGGCTCAAGGATGTGCTACACACAGAAACACAGAATCAAGAACTTCACTTCAAAAGAAGATGAATATGGAAAATGACCCAGTAATAGTACAAATGAAATCCAAAATACAAAAATAGGTTTACTTAAGGAAATGTGGCAGGAAAAATACAGTATTGAATAACAGTCATACTGAATGTAAATGGTCTCAAATCTCCAGTTAAAAGACACAGACTAGCTGAATGGATAAAAAAGAAAACCCATCTATCTGCTGCCTACAAGAAACACACCTTACCAACAAAGACACATGCAGACTGAAAGTGAAAGGCTGGAAAAAGATATTGCATTCTAACAGAAACCAAAAAAGAGGTGGTGTCACCATCCTAATATCAGGCAAAATAGACTTGAACATAAAAACTATTAAAAGAGACAAAGAAGAAACAATATAATGATTAAAGGATCAATTCAACATAAAGATGTGACTATTATTAATGTATATGCACCTAATTATTGGGTGTCTGGCTATTTGAAAGAATTATTAAGGAATTTAATAGAAGATATAGACTCAAATGCAATAATAAGAGGAGACTTCAATATCCCACTTTCAGCAATGGACAGATTAACCAGACTGAAAATCTACAAGGAAACAACAGAGCCAATTGACAGTTTAGACCAAATAAACCTAGCAGATATCTACAAAGCCTTCCACCAAACAGCCACAGAGCAAAAATATTTCATCCCAGTGCATGGAACTTTCTTTAGGACTGACCGTATGCTAGGTCATAAACAGAGTCTCAGCAAATTCAAAAAAATCAATATCATACCATGCATCTTATCATACCACAATGCAATGAAGCTGGAAATTAACAACACAAGAATCTCTGCATCATATGCAAACACATGGAGAATGAGCAACATGAATCTGAATGAGCAGTGGGTCATAGAAAAAATCAAAAGAGAAGTCAAAAAATTTCTGGAAACAAATGAAAACAATACAACTTACCAAAATTTGTGGGATACAGCAAAAGCAGTGTTAAGAGGAAAGTTTATAGCAACTGATGCCTACATCAAGAAACTGGAAAGGTGCCAAATAAATGAACTCTCTATGTATCTCAAGGATCTAGAAAAACAGCAGCAAACCAAATCCAAAACCAGTAGAATAAAAGAAATTATTAAAATTAGAGAATAAATCAACAAAATTGAAATGAAAAAAGTGATACAAAAGATCAGTAAAACAGGTTTTTTGAAAAAATAAACAATACTCACACACCATTGGGCCAACTAACCAAAAAAAGGAGAAAGAAGACTCAAATCAGTAAAATTAGAGATGGTAAAGGAAATGTAACAACAGACAGCACAGAAATAAAAAGAATCCTCAGATACCACCTCAGAGAGCTGTATGTCAATAAGCTGGGAAACTTAGAAGAAATGGATAGTTTTCTGGAAACCACACCTTACCTAAATTGAGCCATGAAGACAAAGAAAACCTAAACAGACCCATAACCAAGACAGAAATTGAATCAGTAATAAACGTGTTCCCAACAAAGAAGAGCCCAGGACTGGGAAGCTTCACAGCTGAATTCTACCAGACATTTAAAGAAGAACTAACACCATTTATTTTCAAATTATTCAAAACAATTGATAGGGAGGGAATCCTCCCAAAGTCTTTCTACTAAGCCAATATCACCTTAATTCCTAAACCCAGAAAAGATGATACAGAGAAAGAAAACCATAGACCAATCTCCCTGATGAACATAGATGTAAAAATCCTCAACAAAATCCTGGCCAATTGAATCTAACTGTACATCAGAAAGATCATTCATCCAGACCAAGTGCGATTTATCCCTGGTATGCAGGGATGGTGCAATATTCAAAAATCAATCAATATGATACACCACATTAACAAACTGCTGAACAAAAATAATATGATTAACTCAATAGATG